TCTATGGACCATATTTGTATAGGTCAACTTGTAAACTGTCTTCTCTGTTCCATTAATTGATGGCTCTATCCTTAGGCAAAAAACACACTGATGTCATGACATAGATTTGTACACAGGATTTGAAATTATGAATTTTTTTTAAGATTTTATTCACTTTAGAGAGAGAGAGAGAGCACAAGCAGGGGGGAGGGGGAGAGGGAGAAGGATAAGCAGACTCCCCGCTGAGCAGGGAACCCAACGTGGGGCTCGATCCCAGAATCCTGGGATCATGACCTGAGGTGAAGGCAGACACTTAACCAACTGAGCCACCCAGGAGTCCCTGAATTGTGTTTTCTTCAACAGTTCTACTTTGAGATTTTGGCTCTTTCAGTGATGATGACTTTCCATATAAATTTTAGAATCATTTTGTCAGTATCTAGAAAAATACCTAATCTTAATTAGGATATTATTAAATCCATATAAATCTATTTGGGAGAATAAACAATATTGAGTTTTCAACTCATGAATAATCTGTTGCTCCAGTTATTTGGGCAGTGTTTTGTACTTTTCAGCACACATACACAGTGTATCTTTCACTGTATTTTTACTTTCCTATAGATAGTATTCTCTTTGTGGAGTTCTAATATTCACAGATTTCTGTTACGATGCCTTAAATAAAGTTTGAAAATACCACTCAAATTTCAGTTACAATGGTGTAGAAACTGAGTAAATGGGTAAAGTAAAAAGATTCCCTGTTATCTTCTTTCCAAAAATTATGTAAATAACTAATGCACATCATGTTCACTGACTACTCCTGTCACTTCTTAAAGATAAGATTTTTTTTTTCTGAGTTGATGCGGGTTCACAGAAAAATTGAGGGGAAGGTACAGATATTTCTCATATACATGCTGTCCTCATACATATCCTCCCCTATTATCAACATATCCCAACAGAATGGTACCTTTGTTAACAACTGATAAACCCACACTGCCATATAATCACCCCAAATCCCCAGATTACTGTATGGTTCACTCTTAGTGTTGTATATTCTTTGGCTACATAAAATGTGTAACATTATCTATCATTAAGACAGAGTATTTTCATTGCCTTGCCTTACAAATCCTCTGTGCTATACATATTCATCGCACTCCTCCCTAACCCCTGACAACCAGTGATCCTTCAATTTTCTCCACAGTATTCACCTCATACAGTTGGAACTATTATGCAGCCTTTTCAGATTGGCTTCTTTCACTTTATAATACGTACTTAGAGCTCCTCCATGTCTTTTCATGCCTTCATATTTCATGGTTTTAGCAATGAATAATGTTTGTCTGGATGTACCACAGCTTATTCAGCCATTCACCTACTAACGGACATCTTTGTTACTTCCATCTGGGCAATTATGAATAAAGTTGCTATAACCATTCATGTGCAGACTGTGTAGACATAAGTTCTCAACTTTTTGGGTAAATACCAAAGAACAGGATTGCTGGATTGTATGGTAAGAGTATGTTTGCTTTTTTAAGAACCATTCTGAATCTCTACCAGCAATGAAGGAGTTACTGATATTCCACATTCTTACAGTGCTTGATATTGTCAGCGTTTCAGAATTTGGCCATTTCGATAGGTCTGTAGAGGTATCTCATTGATGTTTAAATTTACATTTCCCTTTTCTTATGTTTACATCATATCTGTATATTTTCTTTGGTGAGGTGTCTGTTAAGGTCTTTGGCCCATTTAAAAAATTGGGTTATTTTCTTATTGTTGAGTTTTAAGAACTCTTTGTATATTCTGGATTAACAGTCCTTTATCAAATAGGTCTTCTGCAAATATTGTCTCACAATCTATGGCCTGTCTTCTCATTCTCTTGACATTGTAGTTCACAAAGTAGAAATTTTTAATTTAATAAAGTCCAGCTTACCAATTATTTCTTTCAAAGACCATGCCTTTGTTGTTTTATCTAAAAAGTTACTGGCATACCTAAGATCATCTAGGTTTTCTCCTATATTATCTTCTAGAACTTTAGATTTGCATTTTAAATTTACTATAAAATGCTTGGGAACCATTGAGTTAATTTTTGTAAAAACTGTTTTAAGGTCTGTGCCTAGATTCATTTTTCTTCCCTATGCATATCATTGTTCCAGCAATGTTAGAAAGACTACTTTTGCTCCATTGTATTGCCATTATTTCTTTGTCACAGATCTGTTGGTAATATTTATTTGGGTCTATTTCTGGCTATCTATTCTATTTCACTGATATATTTGTCTATTTTTGGATAATACCACAGTCTCTTGATTACTGGAGCTTTAAAATAAGTCGTGATGTACAGTAGTATCAGTCCAGCTCTGTCCTTCTCCTAGAGTAACGTGTTGGAAATGTAGGATCTTTTGTCCCTGCATACAAACTTTAGAAGTAGTTTGCGGATATACACAAAAATAAGTTCCTGGGATTTTGATTAGGATTACCTTGAGTCTACCAATCAAATAGGAAAGAACAGACTCTTGAAAATATTGAGTCTTCCTTATCCATAAACATGAATCTCTCTCCATTTATTTAGTTGAGTTCTATCATCAGAATTTAAAAATTTTCCTCAAATAAATCTGATATATATTTTGTTAAATTTATACTTAAGTATTTCATTTTGGGAGATGTCAAAGTAAATGGCACTGTGTTTTTAATTTCAAATTCCACTTGTTTAGTGCTGGTATATAGAAAAGCGATTGACAAAAACCTTGTATCCTGTAACCATGCTAAAATCATTTTAGTTCCAGTTTGTGTGTGTGAATTTGGATTTTCTACATAATCATGTCATCTGCAAAGATAGTTATATTTTTCCTTCCCAATTTGTATTCCTTTAATTTCTATGTTTTGTCTTATTGCTTTAGCTAGAATTTCCAGTACAATGTTGAAAAGAAGTGGTGAGAGGGAACATCCTTACCTTTTACCTGATTTCAATGAGAAAGCTAGTTTCTCACCATTAAGTATGATGTTAGCTATAGGTTGGTTGTAGACAGATCATGTTTATCAGGCTGAGGTAGTTCCCCTCTAATCCTAGTTTACTGCAAGATTTCTTATCACAAATGGGTGCTGGATTTTGTTAAATGCCTTTTCTACATTTGTTATTATGATCATTTTTTTTAGTCTGTTGATATGAGGGTTTACATTAATTTTCAAATATTGAAATACCTTGCATACCAATTCCAAATTCTACTTAGTTACCATGTGTAATCATTTTCATACATTGTTATACTTGACTTGCTAATTTTGTTGAGGATTTTTGCATCTATGTTTATGAAAGATATTGGTCTGTAGTTTTCTTGTAATGACTTTGGTTTTCACAGAAGGGTAATGCTAACCCCATAAATGAGTTAGGATAAATTCTCTTAGCTTCTATCCTCTGAGATTGTTGAGTATCAGTATCCTCCTGTCCTTTAGAGTTCAGAAGAATTTATCAGGAAGCCACCTGGGACTGGTGCTTTTGGTTTTGGAAGGTTATTAATTATTGATTCAATTTTTTCATAGATATAGGCCTAATGAGATTGTCTATTTTTATTGCTTTGGCAAACTGTGTACTATCAGACAACTGAAGTTGAAAATGTTCCTTTAGTATCTACCATATTCGTTCCTCTTTTCTATTTGTTGCCCTTTTTCTCTGTTCCTATTTTGTCTTCTAATCATTTTCTGCTTTTTGTGGTTTTAAAGGAGTATTTTTTTTTTAAAGATTTTATTTATTTGAGAGAGAGAGAGAATGAGAGATAGAGAGCAAGAGAGGGAAGAGGGTCAGAGGGAGAAGCAGACTCCCCGCTGAGCAGGGAGCCCGATGTGGGACTCAATCTCGGGACTCCAGGATCATGACCTGAGCCGAAGGCAGTCACTTAACCAACTGAGCCATCCAGGCGCCCCAGAGTATTTTAGACGATTCAGTTTTCTCCCCTTTATTAGCATATCAGTTACACTTCTTTTGTAACTATTTTTTAGCATCTGTCACAGTTTGCAATATACTTTTACATTTACAATTAATCTAAGTCTGTTTTCAAACACCACCATATCATTTCCTGGGTACTGTATCTCATAATAACAAAATAATCCTAATTCCTCCCTTCCACTCCTTGTATCACTGCTTTATTTCACTTATATGTAAGTATATGTAAGCATATACATATGTGCATATGTCAAAAACATATACATATATGTAAATTTATTGTTAATATTAGCAAACTATTTACCTGTTGGATCAAGAATAAAAAAAAAGTTTTTATTCACCTTCACTTATTTCTTTGATGCTCTTCCTTACTTTATGGGAAATCTGAATTTAATGCAAATGTAATTATAACATAACTGGCTGACAATGGGAATGATTACATTATCATAATATGAGACCTCTACATAAGCACCTGTAGGAACTTATCAATATAAATGAGAATAATAATTGTGCGGAAAAGAATGAAGATGTCCAATAGGGAGTGACATCAGCAAAAAGAAATTTTATACTAAAGAAAATTTCAAAAATACATGACATTGAAAGCAAGATAGATGAAATGTTGAAAGGAAATCTGAATTCAGAAAGGGAGAGGGCCAATTCAGCAAACTGTAAGATACTCCTTATCATAAGTTTAACAGGAAGAAAGCAAGCGCTATTAAAACTTGGTAATTTTTAATGAAATAAAGTACTCTTAATTTTAAATGATTCTAATGTTTCATATTGTAATATGAAAATTACTTTAAATAGTATTCTCATTTCCCTATACATTTATAATTAACAGTAAGAGAATTTTTTGTATTTTGACAAAAAATTTTTCAGGTAATGGAACAACTGTTATTTTTCCATTAATAAATATTGATTTGCATGGTTTCAGATAGCAGTCATTTTTACAGTCCCACAATATTCTGCAAAACAAGACTTACCCATATCTCATGGGGTTTTTTTTGGGGGGAGGGGGTGATACTGTAAATTAAATTTTGATTTCTAAATATACATGGCTAGTATATCAAAATACATGCTCTTCATTGTTTTTTCCTACCTTATGGTCCTGGGTAGAACTTCCAGTGCTAAGCTGAATAGCAGTAGTGAAATCTGAAATACCTGCCCACTTCCTGTTCTGAGAAAGAAAAAACAATCTTTAATAATTAATATAACATTATCATCAGTTTTTGAGATTCTGTTTATCACATTAATAAAGTTGCCTTATTTTCTAAATTTGCTAACAATTTTTATAAGGAATGGGTTTAAATAATGTCAAATGTTTTTCTTTTTTGCATCTATGGAGATATGTTGCCTCTTCAGTTTGCTGGTATGATGAATTATATAAATGACTTCCAAATACTCAATTACTCTTTCAGTTCTGAACCAGACCAAATGCCATCGTGTATTAACCTTATTATATATTGCTGGATACAATTTGGTAATACTCAGTAGAGAATTTTTATGTCTATGTTCATGAGTAATATTAGTCTACAGTCTTTATTTATGATACCTTTCTGTGGTTTTGATATCAGGGTAATGCTGGCCACATGAAATGAAGTTGGAATATAACTTTCTCTTGTACTACTGGGTGCCTGGGTGGCTCAGTCATTAAGCATCTGCCTTCAGCTCAGGTCATGATCCCAGGGTCCAGTTCAAGCCCTGCATAGGCTCCCTGCTCAGCGGGAAGCCTGCTTCTCAATCACCCAACCCCCTGCTTGTGCTCCCTCTCTCTCACTGTCAAATAAATAAAAAATCTTTAAGAAAAAATGCTATTATGTCTTCCTTAAATATTTAGAAGCATCCATCAATGAAACAATTATGGTTAGGAAATTTTCTTTGTTAGAAATATGTACCTCAATTTAATTTCTTAAGAATGATAAAAATAGTCATGTTTATTTCCTGTGAAGTGAGTTCTGGTAGCTTCTGATACTTAAAAAAAAGGGGGGGGGTGGTCAGCAATGCCTGGGTAGCTCAGTCAGTTTAAGTATCTGCCTTTGGCTCAGGTTATGATCATAGGTCCTGGGATCGAGTCCCGCATGGGGCTCCTTATTTAGCCTGCTTCTCCCTCTGCCTGACGCTCCCCCTGCTTGTATTCTCTCTGGCAAATAAATAAAATCTTTATAAAACATAAAAATAATATTACCTCTACAAGGAAGAAGCTTTTGGCTTAAGTGATTTTTTTCAGTTTTTTTGTTTTCAATTTCATTGATCTCTGCTTTTTATCATTTCCTTGTTTGCTCTGGGTTTTAGTTGCTCTCTTTTCCTATTTTCTTAAGGTAGAAGCTTAGATTAATGGCTCAAGACATTTTTAGTTTTACTAACATAAACATTAAATGCTGTAAGTTTCCCACTAAAGTACTGCTTTAGATGCGTCACAATAGTTTGATATGTCAGACTTTCATTCCTGTGAGGCTTCTTTTGTGTACTGATTTTAGAAATCTGTAGTTTAGCTTTTGAATATTCAGAGATTCTCCAAATATTCGTTATATATATCACTTGTTTAAATCTGTTATGGTCACAGAACATATCTCACATTACGTCAACTATTTAAAATCTGTTAATGTCTGTTTATAGCCCAAAATAGGGTCTACCTTGTCTAGGGTCTATGTGCACGTGAAAAGAATATATTCTACTGTTTTCAGTAGACTATTCTAACATACCAATTAGGTCGATTGCTGGTAATTTTTTTCTAGTCTGTCAAATACTGTTAGCAATATAGATTCTCCAGTGTAACCACAGATTTGTCTGTATTTTTCTTCAGTCCCACCAGTTTTACTTCATGTATCCAGGATCACTTTTATTAGGTACATGTACATCTATGATTATTGTCCACTCTGTCCATTTATCATCAGGAAATAACATCTCTCCTTAACATTAGTAATAACTCTTTATCCTGAAGTAAATTTTGTCTGATATAGCCACTTAAATTTTTTTTTAAATTGAAGTGTAGTTGACATACAATGTTGTATTAGTTGGAGGTGGACAAAACAGTTACTCAACAATTTCATACATTACACTATGCTCAACATGATAAATGTAGTTAGCATCTGTCACCATATCATGCTACAATATCATTGACTGTATTTCCTATGCTATATTTTTTTCATCCCTGTGACTTTATTTTATACTCGGAGTCTGTAACCTTTTAATCCCCTTTGCATATTTCGCCTATCCCCCCACCCCCTTCCTTCTGGCAACCACCAGTTTGTTCTCTGTATTTATGATTCTTTGCGGTTTTTTTGTTTTTCTTCATTTGTTTCCCTTTATAGATTCCATATATACATGGAATCATATTAACTGTCTTTCTTTGGCTGACTTATTTTACTTAGCATAATAACCCATAAGTCCATCCATGTTGTCACAAATGGCAAGATCTCATTCTTTACAGCTAATATTCCATTGTATATAAATACCACATCTTTATCAATTCACCACCTATTGAGAGACATTTGGGTTGCTTCCTTAACTTGGCTGTTGTAAATAATGCTACAATAAAAACAGGGGTGCATATAACTTTTTGTTTCTGTTTACTTTAGTAAATACTCAGTGGTGGGATTACGGGATCATACAGTATTTCTATTTTTTTGAGGAGCCTCCATACTGTTTTCCACAGTGGCTGCACCACTTTATTTCTAATCAGCAATGCACAAGGGTTCCCTATTTTCCACATCTTCATCAACGCTTGTCTTTTTTATATTAGCCATTCTGACTGATGTGAGGTGGTATCTCATTGTGGTTTTGATTTGCATTTCCCTTATGATTAGTGATGTCAAACATATTCTCATGTGTCATTTATCTGTATGTCTTCTCTGGAAAAATATCTGTTCAGATCCTCTGCCCATTTTATAATGGACTGTTTTGTTGGCACTTAGTTCTTTATATATTTTGGATATTAACCCTTTCTCAGATGTATCATTTGAAATATTTTCTATCATTTAGTAGGTTGCCTTTTTATTGCATGGCTGGTTTCCTTTGCTGTGCCCAAGTTTTTTATTTTGGTGTAGTTTCAATACTTTATTTTTGCTTTTGTTTCCCCTGCCTTAGAAGACATCTAGAAAAATGTTGCAATGCTGATGTCTAAGAGATTACTTCCTATGTTTTCTTCTAGGAGTTTTATGGTTCCAGGGCTCACATTTAGATCTTTAAGCCATTGTGAGTTTATTTTTGTGTATGGTATAAGAAAGTGGCCCAGATTCTGGACAGCTACATGTAAAAGAATGAAACTGGGCTAGGGGGCTGGGGCTTGCTGAGGCAGCAGGCCATTTAGGGTGCCCAGACCCTGCTACTGTCTGCACTACCAAAGTGGAAGGAAATATAAACAGTAGTGCTCCACCAGCCCTTCCAACCCTGAAGAGAATTCCAGCAAGCCACCTACCATTTGGTGGAGGATTAGTTCCTTTATATTCTAGTTGCCTTTTTCAAATATAGTTTTTCTGTGGCCCAGGGCAGATAAATCTGCTCCTGGTCCCTCAGTACTATACTTCTCTACTGCGGTTGTTAAGCATCAGGGGTGGGTTTCTCAATATTACTGTGTCTCTTCAACTATTCTCTATGTTGTCTCTATCCTTTGTTGTGCAGAAGCCCTCAGTTGTTTTTTTTTTTTATTTTATTTATTTATTTGACAGAGAGAGACAGCTAAAGCAGGAACACAAGCAGGGGGAGCGGCAGGCAGAGGGAGAAGCAGGCCTCCCGCTGAGCAGGGAGCCCGATGTGGGGCTCAATCCCAGGACCCTGGGATCATGATCCGAGCCAAAGGCAGACACTTAACGACTGAGCCACCCAGGCGCCCCCTCAGTTCTTTTTCAGGGGGAATTATTCTATATCTAAGTACAGATTTAGTGTCTGTGAAGGAGGTGAGTTCAGCATTACCCCGTGTCACCATCTTGGAACCTTCCCCCAACCTTTTTTTGATTGGTGTTTACATGCTATTATCAAGTTCTAATCTTTTACCTTAACATATCTATGTTAGGATATTGAAAGAAGGTATCTTGTAGATAGCATATAGTTGGGTTATGATTTTTTAAATCAAATCTGACAGGCTCTGAGGTTTGCTTGATCATTTACATTTACTCTAATTATAGATACATTTGGATTTATGTCTACCACATTACGATATTTTGACTGTCTCCTGCATTTTGTATTTCTTTACATGTTTTAAACATTCTGTTTGTGTGACTTTTGGGTTACACTTCTTTGGGGAATTAATAATTTAGAGATTTTTTTTTTAAGATTTTTATTTATTTATTTGAGAGAGTGAGCACAAGCAGAGGGAGCCACAGGCAGAGGGAGAAGCAGACTCCCCACCAAGCAAGGAGCCTGACGTGGAACTCAATCCCAGAACCCTGGGACCATGACCCAAGCCGAAGGCAGACACTTAATCGACTGAGCCATCGAGGTGTCCCTAGAGATTTTTTTTTTTTTAAGATTTTATTTATTTGAGAGAGAGCGCACGAGCAAGGAAGCACAAGCAGGGGGAGCAGCTGAGGGAGAGGGAGAGGCATACTTCCCACTGAGCAGGGAGCCCAGTGTGGGGCTCAATCTCAGGACCCTGAGATCATGACCTGAGCCAAAGGCAGACACTTAACTGACTTGAGCCACACAGGTGCCCCTAATTCAGAGATTTTTTTTTTAAACTTTAATTAAAAATATAATCTTTGTCAGTCTCTTCAACAAATGGTGTTGGGAAAATTGGACAGCCACATGTAGAAGAATGAAACTAGACCATTTTCTTACACCATATACAAAAATAAACTCAAAATGGATGAAAACCCTGTGAGGGGCGCCTGGGTGGCTCAGTCAGTTAAGCGGGTGTCTTTGGCTCAGGTCATGATCCTGGGGTTCTAGGATCGAGCCCCATGTCCGGCTCCCTGTTCAGCGGAGAGCCCGCTTCTCCCTCTCCCTCTGCCTGCCACTCTGCCTACTTGTGCTCTCTCTCAATCTATCTGTCGAATAAATAAAATCTTTAAAAACAAAAAACAAACCTAACTGTGAGACAGGAATTCAACAAAATCCTAGAGGAGAACACAGGCAGCAACCTCTTCAACCTTGGCCAAAGTAACTTCTTGCTAGACATGTCTCCAAAGGCAAGGGAAACAAAAGCAAAAATGAACTATTGGGACTTCACCAAGATAAAAA